TGAGGATTTTAGCATCGATTACCATGGCTACGGGAAAGCTTGGGGAAAAAGGCTGCGGCTTCACCCTCTCTCGTGCAGGAATATTGGCTGGAGCTGGAAAACCCAGAAATAAACGATACTACTTGAGACTATCGAGGACATAGAAATCCATATGGAGTCAAATTAGGAGCGTCCGTTCAGGACTTCACGATCGTGGCGACCACTAGGATCGGGCCCCGGGCGATCCGACCGCGCTATTGAGATGGGTGAATTTCACAGCGGGGGGGGGGTTCATGTTTGTTCATGTTCATGTTTACGTTGTTTGTTTTTTGTTCTTTTTAGGTTCTGTCCCAACTCTGAAAAAGACTATTTCAAACAACAGAGAACTCTGACGATGACTTTCGGCGATATTCCGTGACTTCGAAAGAGACAACATAAAACAAACAAAAACAAACAATGTAGTGAATTTCACCCATCCCAATAGCGCGATCCAGAATCGCGCGATCTATTCGCGCGATCCCGAAGTCTGAATGCGGCTCTTTAGTGACGCCTTTACATTCTGCCAGTCTTCTCGTTTGCCTTTGGAAATTTTATTGACTTTGTGCGCAATTAATCGATACCCAACATTAACCTCGCTTTTTATCTGTCCCGATTTTTTGGCTATTCGGAAAAATGAACATGGGAAGGTGCAAATTCGCATCATTAAGGAAAGAAACAAAGTAGAAGAAAAACCAGACATTTTCACTCAGTAAACACTAATGAACTGAAGAAAAGGAGGCGTAACGAACACAAACAAGGCTGAAAAAAGAAACAAATGAGATGTCAAGAACACGTCGATCGATTCGACCGAACATCAAGAACGTGTCCCAAAATGTGTTGTTGTGTAACGAGAAAACCGCTGTTCACTGCCAACTCAACTCTCGACGTGAATTCACCATGAAAATTTCGTCGAAAAATCGTTTTCATCGTGAATTTCATCATGAAGCTCGACGATTGTTGTTGGGTCGTTGCGAAACTGCAAAGAGCACTCGCCACAGCGAACGCTTGGAAGATTACGAGACGAAAGTTTTGGTTTACGGACAGCTTGAACTTCGAGTGCTTCGACCTTCTGTTTTTCTCTGCACTCTCTCGTCCGTACGGTATTCTATGGACAATGTGTCATACATTTCAGTTTTTCTTCGATGGCAAGTGGCCCACCCACCCCGGAGGCCCCTCCTCTTGAGAAAGCCCATATCTTTGCTTGTCACATGCTTCGTGCACATTTCCTTGCTTCGGCAGCCGCTATTCTCCATCCTTCTGCATAACATGATTCGGCAGAAGGACCATGCACAGGGGGGGGGGGCAAAAAAGACACTTCGGCTGAGTCACATATCAGCAAAGTTTTCGCAGCCCAGACAGAAGGACGTGGATACGAGTACCAGGGCGGAAGATACCCAAGATGTTCCTCGATAAGCAGGAGCTGGCTCTCGCCCATCACCTTCATGTACACCAAAATATGAAGTCATCTCCAATCGCAGCCTGACTGGAGAAGGCCTATGGAATTCACGTCACCTCCAAACAGCTGCGAAACTTCTTGTATGGAGTCACCGGACAGCTACCTGGAGACCGGCACTCTTGATCTGGAAGACCTCCAACATCGAGCAGCTCCGACAACGTCGCTACGGTCCAGGATATCATCTTCACCGCAGTCGCCAAGGCACGGTTGATGGTACGGACTGGAAGTACAAGCAACTTGAGGAAATGTTGTACTGCTACAGGATTGGGTGCCACCGGAATCGAAGGGCGTTGGAAAAACTCTCGCCTACTTGGAATGGAAGGGCGTTGAGTACCTGAAGAAGACGGAATATCCAAGTGTGTCACCTGACCTGAACCCCTCGATTACCGGTCCAGCATAACTGGTGGATACAGAGGCGGAGAAATCAACGTCCTCGCTGAACTCAGGCACTGCATCACGTTCGCATGGCAGAATCTCTCGATGGCGCTCGTCCAGAAGGCTGGCGAAGTATCGGATAGTATTTGAAGCTCTTAATATAGTGTGAGAAATGCCGATAAGAATTTAGTAAACTGCACATATACTCGCCTTAAAATCGGAAGAAAATGTCTTCTTTGCCCTCTTCCCCTCCCCCACCCGCACCCGCATAGACCCTTGATTCGTTTAGGATTATGGGGCTGTACGGAACGGATGGATTCGCGACCCACCTCGCCTTGTCTTTCTTTTGGCAGGCGACAAGACTTATCAACCTCGTTCGATCTGTGTTTTCCCACCAGTTTATGTCGCTTACCTCCCGTCTTCAACAACAGCTGGAACGTTTTTGGACGCTAAACGCATCCTTACGGCACGGACTCGCCATCACCCGCAGACAACAAAACTTACAGAAAGTTGAGTACCCGCACAACTCTCTTTTCATTGAAACTAACGCCTGGGAAAATAATAAAGTGAGACTCGGCTGGTTTCGCACTCAAATGGATGCTCCTGGCGACATATGGACCGAGCAACGGGCATCTGAATTCACGGACATCTTCATGATTTACTGCTCTGGTTGCGTTTTATTGCCTAGCCACTTCACATCTTGGATTCAGCAGCAATACCCACTTTCATCTCTGAAGACCTTATTCGAGTGAAAAAGAACAGAAAAAACGTCTAAACTGATACAAAGCTAGACTGAATAGATTGAGTACATTCAAACATACCCTACAAAAATCATTGATAACATTTCAAAGAATTCCTTCTCAGAAAGCTCATTAATCTAAAAATCCTTGGTGTCCTCCCAGATACTTCCCTTGTCTTATCTCAAGGCCAGCCCTATTGGGATTCATTGAGCGCGCCCAAAATAGCATCAAGGTGATCACAGTAATGAGCAAGAACAGAGTGTCCGGTATGAGCATCCCCTTCACTTCTCCTGGGCACCAGGAACGACATCTTCAGCGACGAAGAGGTCGTTCCTGCTGCCCAGGAGAAGTGACGGGCGCCTTCAGGATGATTTTTTTCTGACAACCGGCGATAATCGGGCCAGTAGTGGACGAGGAAAAACCTCATGCCATTCCCTCAAACTGAAGTTCCACCAAAAGAAGAAGATGTTCTTCGTTAGGTGATCTGTGACAGGATTTACTTACCACAGTTCCTCGAATTCGGTTGAGGCGATCACGGCAGCGAAGCACAGACAAGGAGTTGGCGAAATACACCAAAACATTCAGCTTTTGTAGTTGACATTAGTCCGGAAGAAATGACACCTACACCTCCACCAGAGTAAGCAGCCAGGTGCTGCACAGTGGCTGCTGAACTTGAAGGAGCTAGACGGTTGAACTTACTTTATCGACAGTATTCGCAGGAACTCTCCCGCTTTGACCGCCACTTCGCCATGTGCCTGGACATTGTGTGAGGAATGGCCCGCCAACTTGTCCTGTATCAAACCATTTACTGTAAGTCATGAGAATTCGTGTTGCAGGGATAGGTTCACTAAAAGCTTTTCGAGAGAGCTTATAGAATAAATGGTGTTTACCCCAATCTGGAAGGTTCTTTCAGCCTTGAGATATTTCATTTTCAGGTTCGGGGTCAAAAACCTGAATTATTTTCGGACATCCAACTTCGATGCCTTTACTGGTCTTCGGATTACTAGGTCCTGAGGGCAATCTGCATTCACATATTTCCTGAAATAAGTTCTTCGTAAAAGGAAGATTTGCTCCCACAATTCAGGAAATCCAGTAGAAGTGGAAACCGTGTTCTGTTCCGGGTTACTCGTCCCCTGCTGTGCTATGTACAGGGGGGAGGGGCAAAAAAGACTTTTTTCTTCCTTGACTTTCGAGGCGCTATAAGTTACACTTTATAAATTCTGATCGGACATTTCTACCACCATATTAAAGAGCATATTAAATACTATCATGATACTCCGCCACAGCCTTCTGGAGGAGCGCCATCGAGAGATTCTGCCACGCGACCGTGAGTGGGTACCTGAGTTCAGCGAGATCGTTGATTTCTCCGCCACTGTAGACCACCCTATTGAACTCCGCCCGAACCAGGTAATTGAGGGTTTAGGTCAGGTGACCTACTTGGATATTCCATCTCCTTTAGGTACTCAACGCCCTTCCATTCCAAGTAGGCGAGAGTTTTTCCAACGCCCTCCGATTCCATGTGGTGGCACCCAATGCTGTAGCAGTACAAAGTTTCCAAGAAGGTACGGGCGACGACATGTGGAGAGGATATTCTTCTCGAGTTGCTCGATGTAACCGCCAGCGCTCACCTTCAGTCCGGGGTCCACGAAGAAAATATTGGTCTTTCCATTCCAGGTACGTCCGGTCCCCACCATCAACTGGCGCCTTGGCGACTGAGGTGAAGATGATGTCCTAGACCGTAGCGACGTTGTCGGAGCTGCTCGATGATGGAGTCTTCCAGATCGAGAGTACTGGTCTCCAGGTAGCTATCCATGGGTGACTCCATACTAGAAGTTTCGCAGCTGTTTGGAGGTGACATGAATTCCAAAGGTCTTCTCCAGTCAGGCTGCGACTGGAGATGACTTCATATTTTGGTGTACATGAAGGTGATGGGCGAGAGCCAGCTCCTGCTTATCGAGGAACATCTTGGGTATCTTCCGCCCTGGTACTCGTATCCACGTCCTCTGTCTGGGCTGCGAAAACTTTGCTGATATGTGTCGAAATGTCTTTTTTTTGCCCCCCTGTATACTGTTTACTGTAGCGGAAAAAAACTTGGAACAAGCCAAGTGTGGCGATTTCGAGGATTTTTCTCTCCTCATTGTGGATGTTTCTGTTGATAAAGTATTCCGAAAAGTTTCTGGTGATTGGTAGCTGTTTTCCTGATTTTGAGACAAAAAACAAAACCACTACAGCTGATAAATACTGTAGTTTAAAGACATCACAAAGGGTAGGGTGAACTCGAAGGGCTCTATGGAGCACCTTTCCGAGACGTTTTCCGCAATCTTTCCCATAATCCCACACAGGAAGGATTGATGATGTCATGCTTTGGTCTATGAACGTGTATGGTGTTCTTGTTATGCGTACATATAAGCATGAAGCATGGTGTGAACAAGAAACGGGTCTCGTTTAGCCATATAGCTTTGATTGTGCAACGAAAAAACCGGTTGCCACGATCCGGGACAAATGCTTTAAAAGCCCATCGAATCGTCTTATTATAGAGTCAATCACTCGATCCTCACAACACATCCACAACAATGATTCGTTTCCTGGTTCTTCTGGCCACCTCCGTTGCTCTGGCCATTGCCTTCCACCGTAAGTCCCTTCAAATCTCGATTTTCGCTTTAATTTTGGTTGTTTTTTTATTTTTTTGCCGTATTTTTGCAGTAAATCAACTTGGAATATGTATCTTACTGTATTTACCCATCATTTTTAGAATACAGAGAGCTCAAATGTACGACCCCTACAAATACTATTCGAGGAGGTCCTGATCGGTGAGCAACAATTTTTGCTTTTTATTTATAGTTTCATTAGTTTTATTACTTATGTGGCAGTAATTTCCTAAATTTGGTCTTTTTTTCTTCTTGCTTGCTGTTATCCATATTTATAGTCCACTTTCAGAGCCCAATGCCAGCTGACCCTGAAGGAGGAAGAGCTTGAACCCGGCCGGCCAGTGCCAAAGGAGCTCGGATGCTGGAAGGTAAGCTATCATTTCGCGAAAAAACTGAAAAACTCTACTTAATAAACCCCTTCAGGAGGACCATGAAGGTGAAGAGAGGGAGTACTGCGATTTGGTCTGCCCCAACTCCCATACCGTATTCATCGCCCACATCGATCAGGGACACAGAGCATGCTTCAACTACATCACCTATCAGATTGAGAAGGTACTGCTATCACTACAATTACGGTTCAGCCTCTTCTGAAGCGAACACACATTGATTTTATTGATTTCAGCGTGGAGAGGAGCGTTATTTGTGGCGCAGTGGAAAATGCCTCAACTCCACAGTCAACTACCGTATCGGATGCAAGTTCGACGATCCATTCGACACCCAGTTCAAGTCGGACAACGAGATTCTCGCCCATCTCCGCGCTCGTGCTCGCCGAGTCTAATTCACTTAGATTTCACGATTTTGTGCAATTATCAAGCAATGACAAATAAATATTGACTTCTTCCGCATCGTGGATTTTTGTGAAGTCTCAAAAAATCATTTCATTGGATTGTTGAGCATTCATAAGTTCCGATTGTAGTAGGGACCTTACATTCACGTTGCAGCGGAGGAGGTTGTGACCGTTCGATATGACACACTCTCACAGAACTCACGCCTGAACAGATCAGGTCCTGGTGCGAATGTCGCGCAGGCCATTTCACTCGCAACTAGGACACGGCATCACGTTTTGTGAAGCTGGATAAATACCACTCTCTCCCTCGAATTTCCTCCTTCTTCGCGACCCCCTCGCCAACCGCATTATTCCAAAATTTCACCGTTGACATCGAGCGAGGGGGGGAGGTGATCCTCTCCATACACTTACCACAATTGCTGTAGGAAACAGTGATTACATAGTTGTTTTGTGGATCTGTCAAACGCAACAGAACAATTTTTTTTCGCATTGTGGAAATACCTTTACGACCCTTCCCGCTCCTTTATTGACCGAAAATACTATCCTTTCTTGGAGTTCTACTTATAGTGGGCGCCTATAGCGGGAAACCCAACTATCAGAAAAATTTTCTTGAAGGCAATTAGCAAGGTTTTCCTTTCCCTGGGCTCGATGGTTGGAAAGGCTAGTTCATGATGAGGACAGCGCTAGATAAATCGCCACGCGGCTTCTAATAAAGTAAGCAAGTGGAAATGGTCCAGCAATCAGACCTTCATGAGATTTCCAATCCCTCACAAACTTACCAGCGTTCTGCGCCTTTTCCTTTATGATTTCAGCTCATGCTATTGGCTTCTAAAATTCAGTAGTACTTGCTACGACCCTCCCGTACAAGATTTACCCAGACTGGCAGTGGAAACAAATTTCCTTGTTTTCTGACGCTCTCCTCTGCAAAGCCTTGAGAATAGGGCATAATTTTGCCCCGAGGGGCTTATAGCATAATAATCTCATTTTATGATGAACGATCAGGCTATATTGCTTTGAGCGGACCTCATGTAGTCATTATTTGCATTGAACTTCAGTCTCTATACAACTAGCAAGTAATACTACTTGTACATATACACTACAGATTGTAAAGAATCCATCTGCTGGACAGCTAGTCACGAAATCTCATGAGGAAAGCGAGAAATGAGAAAATATTCATCCGCTCTCGTAGACCTCCTGCCACGTTGGGGCATGTCTTTTCTTGAGACTCTTGTTTGAATTTTTTCCTGAAAACTTTTGGAAAGTCTCGGAATTTTCCACCCAGCATATTCATGGAGAAGGCATTTTGCACAATCAAAAGCGTTTCACCCATGGGATCCTATACGATCCTGATGGAGAACATCGAGCTTGGCCGAAGACAGGTCGAGACCCCATTAGAAGTAACTCAGAATTTCAATGTAATAGATGCAGTCTGGAACCAGGGCACGTCGTACGTTGGGCATCCGCAGCGAGGAGGATTGTATTTGGTCGCTGGAGGGATTGGGTTGTATCTGCAAATTTCACAACATCGTTCGCCAGCTCTATCGATCTGGGAAAGTCTCAGAAATTGAGGCTTGGGTGCCATATGAAAATGCCGTTCACAGGGAAGAGCTCGAGCTGAGGCCTGCGCGGAACTTTTTACTCTGAGCGGTTTCGAAAGCTGCGCTAAAAATGGCGTTGTGCGCGCGGCATTCACACTGAACGTAAATGATTTGTCTCGAAAGTACTACAGTAAACTGAATCAGCTAGCCAGACAGGAAATGCTGTCTCGTCGAATTTTGCACTTTCTGCGCGACAACGCAACCTATCTCCTGGTTCGAAGCCTTAGGAAATGAATTGGCTCTAAATTCCCTTTCGTTCCTTAAGTTTTCTCCGTCATTTTGCAAAATATTTTTCATCACTTACCGCCGTTTTCCTGACGATTCTCTACTAATCAGCACTGCTACTTCGGCTAAAGCAGTGAGGGTATTTTATGCACAGGGAAGTCTTGCGAAGATTTTTGGAAAAATTTTTCGAAGTTCCTCTGATCTTCCTTTTCTTCGGAATTTTTCTAAGCTTTGGCTGATTATTATTTTCGTAAGGAAACATCGTGACGATGCCTTCCGACTGAGTGAGGTGTAACTGCAGAAAGAATGGCTTTTGCACATAGAGGGGAGGGAACGATGTTGGAGGGTTATGAGGCTTAGAAAGTTGGAGTGTCCCTTAAACGTGAAGTCCGTGGATCCTAGTCCTTGCCGTGGATGGGGAGCGTCACGTTTTCCGGTCAAAAGTGCATGGGAACGTGGCTGGAGGGTAACGGTACCCGTGTGCCATCTCCATACCCCGCCTGCCCTGCAACACAACCAGCTACAAGAAAAGCCCTAGCTAAACGCGCTACTTGTCGCTCGCTAGTACTTGTCGCTACTGTCACCCTCTTACCTCTGGTTGCTCTCTACCGATGAGATCGTGTTTCGCTGCGGGACCTCGGTATGACGCGAGTGCTGCACATTGCGGATAGCGCTGGCGGAGTATGGAGACGGCACTCACAACCCCGTTCCGGTGCACTTTGGAGAGAAAAAATGGCTCGCCACTTTGACTGCACACCAGTTCGCCTCGCACATGGCAATGAACCGTCCTTGGAGATGACTGTGCAGTTTGTCTTGGATGTTCTTCATGTCTACACCCATAATTCAAGCAGTGAGTAGACCAGAAAGGAGAAAGACCCGCTTGACCAGCTATACGCCTAGCCGTAGTCACGAGCGCTACTTGTTTAGTTCTTCTCACATTTGGCCTATTATTTCCTTACGTCCCGATTTCGGGAGCGTCTTAATGCTCTCACAAAACGTCGCTAACCAGTGCCGCTTCGCGTCTTGGCCTGTCTGCCTACCGTGCCGTGCCGTTCACTTCTGGACCTTGGCGACGTCTGCCGTCCCCCAGGTGAACATGATGGTGACAAGCCTACAATGCATAGTGTACGCCTCGCGTCTCGAAAAGCGGGCGGAAGCATAAAAAGGTCCGTCTATCAGGACCCTCCAGCTTCATTTCCGTGCACATCCGAATAGCCAAAGTGCCATACTACGACTGTGGATCTGCACAGCTCGCACTTGGAATGGATCCACCTCGCAGGTAAACTTACACTAACCTAACCTAGTCGCTCATTCTGCGTAGTTGCTGGTAGTGTTATCATACTCGATGTGGGTAGAGGTGAATGGAACATTTGTTCACGAAGAGAGATTTTATATTATAATAGCAAGTAGGATGAGTTGTGTTGTTGTTTATCACGACTACGGCAACTTGGGGTTGTCAACTTTGATTTCCTGTGGCAGAATGTATCCAGTAAGTATTCCATAATACAATTAGTTTGCAATGCATTGAGAATATCGGGTTTGTTTTAGAATAAGGATGAAGTTGAAAGTCTTCGCCGTTTATCTTAACTTATTGCGGATTGGGCATCATATCGCAATGCGTAACGAGGCTTACTGAATGCGAATTGTGACCTATAAAGAAACGCTGCGAGTACGCAGCAAAAGTATCAAGTCAGCGCATCACTTATCGCTCCGGCAACAACCGATATGGGTACCAACTGTCCGCTCCCAGATGTGGAGAGGTTTTGGTTGGCGTGGGCGAAACCGACATTCGGAGACGCAGCAGGACCGCTCGTGTGGTAAGCGCCACTGAACCAATGCCACCATTTTGAGTAGAAGGGAAGAATGAACAACACTGATGCGTTATCTATTCCCTGTATCTGCCATTTTCGTGAACTAAATGTCCTGCTCAGCAGGAGACAAAGGCACGAGATCGAGTTCTATATTGGAAGGCGCTAAGAGGTGTGGCTGTGGGAGTGGCGAGAGCCCAGGAGGAAAGTGTGGGAATATGTGTAGTCATTGCCCTGTAAACGATAGGGTGTGTGACACGAATTGCAGCGCGTACAGCATGGCCTTTTCCCCTGAGCCCGCTACAATTGGTACAACTGGTAAGAAATTTGCCTTTGTTGCGCTCCAAGCCACACGCCTATCGTTTGCACGGAAAATAAGGAGCAGAGTCGTCAGGAGAACACACAGCTGAAACCCTGTTCGCCGGTACGCTTCTTTTGAACCCCGATATGGAAGATACATAGGGACTGGTAGTGCCATCATGTTGACCAGCTACTTTCAGAACTAGTCTTTGGTCTTGCCTCCCTCACCTGTGTAACACCTGTTCTCCCGTTGATTGCTCGATCGGGCGCCAGTAACATCTCCTCATCCCAGCAGAGCGCTAGAGTTGCCCAATAGAATCACTGTGCTCGAGGGACGCGACATACAAGCAGTATGGTCATTTTCTCAGACCCAGTCTGTTACTCCGCGGACGGTGGAGGGCCCTGCTTGCTTCAGCGATTGCCGAGACTTGTTTCCCGTATCGTGCGCGCGGTGAACGGGCACTGCACCACCCCCACCTCAACTGATCCGATACTCATTGGTTTACTTACAGTCGCCAAAAAAACTTGGAACAAGCTTTGAAAAGGCATTTTCATCTGTTCTAAGCTATCTAATCTCTTCTTATACACCAGTATTAGGGTCAGAAGCTAAGAATATAATGTTATAATACAATAATATTAAATTTTGGTTAAGCGGAGATAGTGTAGTGGCAAGTGGCGCCACTTACCACAAGCGTGGTCTGGGGTTCAAAGCCCGGATCGGCTCCCGCCTGAACCAACCGAGTTTTTCGTGCCTGCGGGGAAAGCTAATTAGTAGTAGACTCGTCTAA